GGGAAGGAGGGATGGGGAAGGGGAGGGTGTGGGTGGAGAGAGGTGCGGAGTAGGGGGAAATGAGGGAGATAATTGAGTAAAAGGGGGAAAAAAAAAATTTGAAAAAAAAAATTGCCTAAGAGGCGGAAAAAAATGTTGAATCCTCCGATTTCATTATTTCGACCAGCGCCTGGTCCCACCTCGCCGCGACACATATGTGAGGCAGCAGTGTGCTAGCGCCAGGTTCCATCCACCTGGCCGCGACACACATGTGAGGCAGCATGGTGAAATCAGTCGCTCGATAAAAAATAATGAAATTGAAGAAACTGGCATTTTTCTGTTCATTTGGCAATTTTTTTTTTCCAATTTTCGTTTTTTGACTAAACACCTTTAATCTTTAATTAAGGTCCATTTAAAAACACATTTCTATCTGGATTTTACAGAGAAATGTTGATTTAAGGCACAAAACAATGTAAATTTGCAGTTTTTAAGGACTCTCAAGCATTGGAAGCCCCCATACGTTGGCAGCCATTTTCTCACTAATTTTACCTCTGAAACCAGGCGACTCCCACCTCTTTCAATCGCAAATATCTCGACTTCTATTCCCGATAGATGAGAAATTTTTACACCGAAAGCAAGACAAGTGAACAAGATTTAAAATGATACCAATAACTCCACATGTCCCAAAATTGACGAGCGCCTGATTCCACCGCGTCATGAGACATGGTATGGTGGAGTCGTTCTTACACTAAGCAACTGATACTGATATGGGCACTGATCTCGGGTACTGCGACTGATCCTCACCTGATCCATATGGTCGTAGAACGTGTGGATACACTGCCGGGTCCCAGCATTCCAGATTTTGACTGTCTTGTCGGAGGAGCTGCAAGGGACAACAGGTAAAAAAAAAATGCTCAGGAGTTTTGTTTTTCTGGAACAAGTTTGGCGCTTTATAAAAGACAAAAAAACAAAACAAAGCAAGTCGTTGGGAGGGGGAAAATATAGTATACAGTTTTTGTATGAGGCAGTATCTTACACAAATTGGACATTAAAAAGTTAATATTTTATTATATTCTGTCAGGGGAGGGTGGGGGGGTTGTAAACTCATTTCAACATATGAACAAAAAAGTGTTGAAATTTTTCACAAGCTTTACAGAGAACCCACAAGCCAAGACGAAAAATGGAAAAGTACAGGAAACACTACGCAGGCAGTATTGCATACAGACGTAAGTCATTTATGGCGGCCTTTGAGATACGTCTGTATGCAATACTGCTCACGACTACTGGTTGCCTACAACCTTCAGAGACACAGAGACCAGCCTAGGTATGAATTATGTATTGTCGGGCAAACAAACATGAAACATATGCGAAAAATAAGTTTTAGTTTAGTAGAGGTTTTACGGCGCTCGCAACTGCATAAGGTCATATGAGCGCCAGAAGATTAGAGGTGTTACAAGAGAGTAACAA